ATGCGGTGTAGTGTGCAAGACTCGTTCTGGAACGTCAAAAGTGGATGCCAGCCAGGCCGCAAATTGAGACAATGACCAGCAGATGCGATAGTTCCGGAAAGAAAATACTCTATATACTAATTTCTATATAAGATATTATATGATAAATATATAATTATATATAATTATATATAATTATATATACATGTAAAGTTATATATATATAGTATATATATGTATTACTGTATAATTTGCCGCTTCCGCTTTGTGATTAAGTCAATACTGTAGTCGATGTGATTGATGTCTTTCAATCAAGGAGCTTGGTATTTTTTGTATTGTATCAGGCGGTACTCTTATCACATTTTTCATATTTGCACGTGTTTGTACACTACGTCGTGTTCAATGCGTCGTTGCGATCCATTGCGTATTGTGCTTGGATGTGCTTGGTACCCTTTCGGGTTGCTTGGCCCTACCGTGCCTCGGCCTGTGTGCTCGTTGAGGCCGCAGACCTCGATGCGGAACTGCAGTGTCCGCTGCAATTTTTGCGATTGTGATTGCCATGATCGTTCCGCTCAACACTTAGACTCTTAGACAAAGTACCGAGACAATCTTAGAGACAATCTTGGACAAAGTAATTTTATACCGAAGAAGTTTGTAGGATGTGAATTCACTTACTGTACATACTTTCGAGCCAAAGTACCGATGTTTGCTGAGTAGCAAGTGTCGAGTTGTGAGGAGTCGCAATTGTAGTACAGATGCAGCAAGTGCTACTGCTACGGATTGCAGCACAGCTCGTCAAGGCCAGCATTTTCTGCTCTGAGAAATAGGTTGAGCGCTGGAGCAGCTTGGCTGAGCAACCAGGGTTGCACATGGTTGCACATTGACGACAGTAATTCATGTTTTTCTTATCGAAGCATGCTCTCAGATCTCTCAGCTTGAGCTGAAAGTGGCAGAGATCCGGCCTATGAGTTGTGGGTATGGCATGATGGCAGACTGCACAATTGCATATTCATGATATTTGTGTGTGACTCATTGCGATCTTATTTAGCAAATCAAGGGAAACTCTGAAGTGACTAAGGACCTGGGAAAAGTTTCTTGCGCGCTCCCTTTGGGAAAGCTGCGCCTAGAAGTCCCCGAAGGCCAATGAGGGGTCCAAAGGTTGCAACATTCGAAACCTCGCAGAAGCCGGTCTTCATTCATACATGAATGGATATGAATGGATTGCAGGTCGAATTCCAGTTGCAATCATTGCCCCTGGTTCGTTTTCGTTCGAGTCCTGGACCTCGAAATCTTGATCCATCGTAAGATCAAGTTTGCATTAACAAAGTTGTTCATTCTTCAGGCCACCCACGCTCCTCCACTTGAGGATGTTTGAGGAGGCCTTGCCAGGTTTTGCAAGACTGGAAGCATCGATTGCTAGATATTATTGCGAATAATGCAAAGTCAAAACAAGTCTCAGGAAAGCCCATGTCAATGTCGATTTGTGAGAGAGAATGCAGCACAATTTTCAATCTGTCAAGGCTCGCGACGCACTGGAGCGATCAGGCACAGAGCCAAGCTTGCACAGCGGCTCGAGCTGAAACAAGATGTTTGCCAGGCAACAATTTTGCTGTCGTTGGCGGCTACATGTCTCCTGTGCATGATGCTTATGGCAAAGCAAGAGGCTGAGTCGGAGAGATCACGAAAGGTAGCCTAGGCTACCTGAGTTCTATGTACTTTAGTACTAGTTTAGTACTGGGGGAGGTGGGTGCTCCTTTCCCGGAAATTGAGAGCTGAGAGTCACGAACGGAGACTTAGGGGGGCGGGGGCCCCCCCCC